CAGAGTGCTGTTTGCAACCCTGCACTCAGCCCAACAGCAGCTCTACCTCACGCAGAGTGAGGCTGGTGTTCCTGGAACAGCCTGAGCTCCTTGCCCTTGCCCTGGCTCTTTTCCTCAGGCATCCCAGCCACACTGCCCTCCAGATGACTGTGTGTCCCTGGTACCCAATGAGCTGTTTAAGGGGGCGGGGCTTTGCTGGCACTTCCTCTGCTGGGACGTTTGCCTCTTCCTGGCCTCCAGAGTGGCTAGGTGACCTCCACACTCTCTTGCCATGGCCACCTTGCCTCTCCTCTTCTCTTTCCACTAGTGTCTGTCACTTCCCAACTGATTTGCACATTGCTTTTTTTCAGTACTGAGGATTGAACCCAGGACCTTCACACTGAGCTACATCCTCAGCCCTTTCATATTAGGACAGGGTCTCACTAAGTTCCCTTGGCGAGGCTCACACTTAGCAAACCTCTTGCCTGAGCCTCCTGGAGTGCTCATATTGTAGTCGTCGCGCACCGCTGTGCCCAGCTTTGCACATCATTTAGCTACAGTGCTTTCACCATCGCCTCTACTCATAGAACCTAAGCTTTGCCTGGCTGAGAGCCTGTTTGCTTTGCCCACATGTGTTGGCCAAGGCCAGCACAGAGACTGGCGTGCAGTAGGCATGAGGTGTCTGTGACAGTTAATCTTATGAATCTACTTCTTGGGCCAGGGCTATGGATATGCAAAAAGCCTTGCCAAGAGGGAAGACTCAGCATGAAACTGCAGCTCCCATTCTTGTGACCCTGTGGGGGTTGCAGGAGGTACCCATGAAGCCCGACTGCTGGGTGTGGCGGAGGGGGGTGGTGTTTCTGATGACAGCATTAGGATGGGGGACTGGGTAAAGCAGGCTGTTCCCCCCATGGGGCCAGACGCCTCCCAACAACCTGATGGCCTAGATAGAGCAAAGGGCAGAGGATGGAGGGATTTACCTCTCTCCACACTGAACTTCACCACCAGCTTTCTGGGTCTCTAGCCCAGACATAGGTCAGGGACTTGTCCACACCCACTGTCATGGAACCAGTTGCTCATAGTCAATTATGTGGGTGGATAAACACACATATACACACCTGTTTCCCTCCTGTTGGTTGTTTCTCTGCAAGCCCTAATGAAGGACCTACAGGTCGAATGAATGAATAAATGAAGCAGACAAACCTGCACATCCTCTTGCACTGGGACCCTGCCCAGCCATATTTAAAAATTCTGCTCATGGTCCCTGTTGAAGGGATCTCTGGAAATTCAGTTCCTTATTGTGTTGCTCTTCCTGCAGCACCTCCTGCTCTCTGGGAAGCCCCACCCCCACTCCATGGCCCTTCCCATTGCAGGGGAGGATCCATGGGAGGATCTAGTGGGATTTTCCTCCACATCAGGACCAGGATGTACATCCTGTAGCCCAAGCGCCACAGGTGGGAGCTGGAGCGACCTTTCCTGGCGTCTGGTGGGGGGATGTGGGTGCGAGCCCTAGTGCCCCCAGCAGTAGGGATCATGGCACTGGGAAACTGGTGTGTTCTGCTCCCACCTGATTGTTTTGGTTTTGGTTTTTGGTACTGGGGATTGAACCCAGGCCCTTCGCACTGAGCTACATCCCCAACCCTTTAACAATGTTGAGACAGTTTTTGCTAAATCATTAAGTTTTCAAAATTGGGCTACAACTCTTACTCCTCCCACCTCAGCCTCTTTGAGTGCTGGGATCACATTCTCCCATTTTGTTCTCATGTGTGGTGCGGCTTGCTCTGTCCTCCTCCACTTCATCCTCCTGGAAAGGGTGCCCTGGGCCTGGGCGTTCACATGGTGAAGCTCTGCCTGGAACCTAGCAGGCTTGATGGTCTTGGTGGTTCTTTTTATTTGCTGCTGGACTGTATGTGGGTGGGCATGACCTTTCCCTGAAGTGACTTGGTGTTACAAAGCATAATGTTCTAAGAGGCTGCATATGGTATTTCCCCTCTGGGATCCTTTTAGAGGACAGAGAAAGAGACTGGTGTACAAAGATGTGTCATGGTATTTTGGGGCAGCCATTGACAGTGGCAACTTCTGTTTGGTTTGTTTTTTTTTTAATTATTTATTTTTATTTATTACATTTATTTATTGTGTGTGTGTGGCCAGCTCAGCCCACCAGGGGGCGGGGCTGGCTGGCATGTGGTGCTGGGGGATCGAACC